TTAAGATGTAAATAAAATTAAATTTGAGTAAATATTTAGGCATGGGAAATAATCTCTATATTTAAAGAGAAAAGAAATTTTTGTCAATTCTGATGTTCAAACTAACAATAATTTAGGACAATATTTTCAATAATTACCAGTATCATAGTAATCTTAAGGTAGTAAATAAAAAAACAACTTTGCACCCTAAAACATATTAGCAGCCAAATTTCGTGAAAATTAAAACATAGTACCGGTATTTTTATATATTTTCACGGATTACAATTTTGAAACGTCTAATAACACGTCCAGTTTAAATAACGTCCAATATACGGGTAATGATTAGAGTACAAAATCAAAATCGATCATAGTTTCATCGTATTTGCATTTACCATATTCTTCTGTGAGTGAATATAGTAAAATCGTTGTATATTGTTTCATATACATAAGAATTTATGTGTTACAAATTTATTTTATTAAAATATTTTACCATTATTGCAATATGGACAGGACAACACGACGTAACAACGTAGCACATGGACACATGGTATAACTGTGAAGTGGTGTCAGTATGGAGAGAGTGACCCTTCGCGCCAAATTGGTCAGACTTGTCTGTTATTCGCGCCCAATTAATCAGCTCTTCAATCAGCTGATTGTGCTGTTAGTGAAAGCTGCAGAGTCAGAATAGAACAACTGTTGTACTATATAAAATCCTACATGACCTATCTTGTTTTTGCCTCGTTTGCCACGTCAAGATTTACAATAGTTTTAAAATATTTCCGAGTTTAATTGTTTACAAGTTGTATAAAATTAGTTTGAGTGGCTATCATTTTCATGCTTGTGTCAATAATGTCTAGAGTTAGAAAATAAAACGAAAAAATGTTTAAGTAAATGTCTACACTTCAAGATTGTCTTTGCCGAGCACATAAATTATTATGAAAATCAATAACTTGTTTACTGAAACATGTTTAACCTTTAGTACTTCACATTTGTAGACACATAATTTAGTCATTGACTATTCCCCATAATCATCAACCGAAGCCACTCCAAGGGTTCTAAAACCTTGTTTGCAAAATATAACATATGTGGAGTCTTATTGTTATGTCAAAGGTTATAAACGGAATAGTTTAGAAACAAGATTCAGTACTTTCATGTTGCAGCGATAACTATTTCTCAGACTTTTTATCAATCCCTGTTTTAATATAAACGGACTTTTTAAAGTTATGTCGAACATACTTCCCCACTTTTCCTAGAATGAACTGAACTCACATTAATTGCACAAAACACAACGTAGATATAATATCGCTTACAAATTAATAAATTAATGTTTAAAGTAAATAAATAAATAGAGAAAGGGTCCAACTTCAACCAAAAGATCTTAATCGTGTAGCTGACGTGGTGCTCGTTACTAAGGAAGAGGCACTTGAAAAAGCCTTTGTTAACATTTTCACAAGAATCCCCCACTACCAATAATCATCCCTGTTACAAAATTTAAAAATTCTGTTAGCTAAAAAAATAACGTGTACATAACCAATAATTTGTTTTTGTTTCTTTTGGCCTGCTATAAAACACTCATGAGTTTGGCCTACAAAGCAAAAGAAATTATCCCCAAGTGTACGCACTTCAAAAATCTTAAAAAACATAAAATATTGTTTTGTCTTTTAGTTTACATACAGAAATTTGGGAAATATATATTTGTTGTGTTTAAAGTGCAATATATATCATTTAACTGTGTATCTAGATGGATAAAGATGTGAACATATTAGTATGATTGATCAGTTGTATTTTAGCGAATTTCCCTATAGGTCCAAGTCCAAGTGTATACGACTGTGGCATGGTAAGACCTAAGCCCGGGAGCGATTTACTTTTTCATTTTGATGTCCCCAGAGGCAAAAACACCATTCGTTCAAATTTTTATATATGTATATGTATAGATTTATATATACAGGGTGACACAAAGGAACCGGACGTTTTTTAAACAGCTGTTCCATTGTTGTTGCACGTGGTAGGAAGATTGAAGTTATGTCATTACCTTCAGTGAGGCTTGCCATTTTTGTTGAAGTGGCTCAGTGGACCCTAGACCATCGCGTTTTCGCATACGATACTTTGGTCCGAAATGGTGAATCCGTCGTCAAATCCAGCGGGAATTTAGTCGACATTTTAATATTGAACGCCATGGAAGTTGAAATACGCTATTAAGATGGGTTTCAGGGTTCCGAACAACTGGGAATATAACAAGAAAGAAACCACCAGGCCTTGTCAGAACTTCGAGAACACCCGAAAACATCGCCAGAAAGAGAGCAGTATTGAATGAATGTTTCCTAAGGTGATTTCTCGCTTTGGTGACATGCCGTGGCCGCCAAGATCACCTGGCTTGTCCACTAGTGATTATATCCTTTGGGGGTTTCTTAAGGAGCCTGTTCATGCTCACAAACCACTCTAGGGGATTTGAAGTTTGCAATCATAGAAGATATCAATGGCATTGAACCTCCTCACCCGAGTTTCAGATGATTTTCAGACCAGAATGAACATTTGTAGATAAGTACATGGCCGCCATTTGCATGACGTCATTTTCAAATAATGACGGTTTTATAACAAATGGCAAATGTTTACCTCACTATGTACAGTATTAAATCCAGTTTATTCCTTTTAACTACTGTGTACTACTTATTTAAAAAACGTCCGGCTCCTTTGTGTCACCCTGTATATATATGTGTGTCCGTGAACGCGATAACTTGAGTAATTTTTGTCCGATTTTGATGAAATTTAGTTTAAAGGTGTAAAGCGGGATAAACTTGAATGAGTTTGCGAACCAGCATGATCGGACCATGGGAACCGGGCTTTACGGGGGGTTTTATGGGGTAAAAATTGGTTTTTCTCACTTTTGACCCTCAAAACCCAAAGTTTCCCAATTTCTCTTTATGCCTTTTTAAAGAGCTTAAAAAAACAAATAATTTAGTATATAAAAGTATTTTGTACGGTTATTGGTAACGGAGAAACTTTAAAAAATTGTAAATTTAAAATTCCCATGTTATTCTTATGGAGATTGGAGAATATTGTAAAATGTTGTAGTTTGGTTGTTTATGGATATATTTTTATCAAACTTGGCAAACTTATTTATTTTGTACTAAGCTATTAATATTTTACTAAAAAAACACACTTAATTAGTTTCCTTGTTGCAGCAAACCTAGGTACTCGACCTATAATGTTATTTAAATATATTTAATTGAAAATCAATTCAGACAAATGGAAATTCGCTTAGTTGTCAGGTTTGCTGCGACGGGGGTATTTGTAAGTTTATATACAAACGCTGAGTGCATGAGATTTGTTCCGCTGCATCATGATGCAATTCTGACAACGATATACAGGGATTGATGACTCATTGAACAATGCTACATCAGCAAGTTGTTTACTATCCTGTTGATGTCATCTGAGAGAAAAAAAAACATTAAATATACCGTCATGGAATCGTTTTTAAAACAAGTTTTCGAACGCATTAGTCCATCGTATCAAGCTAATTTGAAGTCGGATATTAATAATTATGAATGAAATAGAGAACCATATTTTTAAAATAACAACACAAGATGTGTACAAGATTATGTATGGATTAATTGCTAGACTTATTTATAATATAACGTATTCTATGCACTGTTAACTGATTTATTTTAAACTAAGTAAAGGCGAAGTTAGTGGTGTACGGAATTTTGAATGTGTACAATAACGAGAAAGTAGTAAAAATATAAAATAAGTTTGATACAATTTAAATAAAAAAAAAAATGTTGTGTTATGAATGTACGTTGGGTTTGTTTGGATTATCATCGTTCTATTGGCGAAACTGCAAATTGTGGGGATGACTTCACTATTCAACAATTATAGTTATAAAAAACATATTTCTGGCCCCTGGACAATTTTTTTAAGACAATAATAGGTTTTACATACCTCCGTAAATTTGTCCAGCCATTATTAAAATTGCTCAGAAGCTCACATGTTTCGTTGCAAACACAACATTTTCAAAGCTTGCAACTTCTCAAAAGCAGAGTTAAAACAAACAAAACACGAACGTAAAAAAGTACTTATACACAACTATTTAAGATTGATTTATCCAAAATCTTAGCTTTTTTATGTGTATTTGGTATGTGTACCACAGTTTTATGTTTGTCTTGTGTTTGTTTTAATTGTATTTTTGACGAGTTGCAAACTTTGAAAATGTTGTACTGTAAACAAACTTGTAAGCTACGGGAAATCTTTTAGACTATGTGATAAAGGTACGTAAAACCTATTACTGCATTAAAAGATTTGTATTAAAACCCACGTTTTATCATACGATATGTCTTATAATATCAATATTTAAGCTGTTATAATCAATTCGTGTTGTATTTTAATAGGCTAATGTAAAAACAATAAACATAATGATTATGTCACTTAGTATTTTCAATAAACAAAGTAGACATATCTCATACGGGTTGTCCAATGACAGGGATTTTCTCTTGTATAATTCTGTATGTTACATAAATAAATAGTCCGGTAGGCTTTAGTGGAATAAGTTTCCTAAGACGGTTCTTTTCCATCGTGTCACGGGTTAACATAATTGATGATTGACGAGATATAAACTTGGGGTCGAGGGCAGTTGTTCGACGATGTTAGGCAATCGACCAACTAAAGATAAGCTTAAATTAGTGTACTAACTATATCAATGGATGAAGACATATTCTCAAGTAAAAGTTCGTACTTTAAAACTCGTTATGAACAAACTAAATTAAGACACTCTGTCATAGAACATATTAAAACGTAAGGCCGTGAGAGTTCAATAAAATTAAAATTCGGGGAAGTTCAGATGTGCAGATAAAAAGAAATTAAGAATGCTGTTTAATTACTTCGTTTCTTTTAACTGAGTTAAACATTATAACGATTGGTAACAAATTCAAATATTTAAAGAGAGCATCCTTAGAATCCGCTTAAGACCGAAACATGCAGGCACAAACAACATTCTAAAAGTAAAATAAAATAATCAAGAGACTCACCCACAAGTGCAAAGCTCACAGATGCACTGCTCCTTGGGGGGATGCGACTCCTTAGGCTTCTTCTCCTCCGGCTTCTTCTTTGGTTTGTCTTCCAGGGGCTTCTTCGTCTCCTCCAAGATCCTTCTGTCCGTCACTTCCTTCGTAAGCACGGTAGAGTCTACGGAGGTGTTTTCGTGAACGACATGCGACTGTCTTCGAACGTCGGCGGTATCACTGGTTCTTCTAGACACGACGGTTTCAGGTAGAACTTCCTCCACGACCCCCTTATCTGTGACAATTCTCCTCACCCCCTTCCTAACAACAGTCTCTGTTGATGACGACACAGCTTCTTGCACGGATGTTGATGTCTTGGATGTTTTAGAAGTAGCTATGATCCTGCCACCAACGATTGTTACTCTGTCAGGTTCGTCATAGTCTGGAGAGTCTTTCGGTCTGGAGGGTTTTCCAGCTGGTTCCGTTGGTTTTAGGTCCTCCGTTTTAGTTTTGCGAGTAGGGCTTTTTTCTTTGCTTGGTTTTTTCGGTTCTTCAAAAAGGTCGACTGGCCTTCCAAATTTGTCTACGGGCTGGCTAGGTTTTCCTGCGGCTGGAGAAATATGCTTCTCAAAAGTACTTACATGTGTTTTTCTTAGGTCGGTTGCATTAGACTCGTCAATAACAACTGTTTGTTTTACTATTTTACCGTTTATCATTTTTATAACTTCAGTGGTGTGGGCTGATTCAGAGATGATATCAGGTTTAGTTGGCTTTTTAGGTTTCTTATCATAAGGCATAGATGCAGTTTTTCCATCATCTGGTTTATCCTTAGGTTGGCTAGGTGCTCCTGCTGCTGGCCTTCCTGATGGATCCATTCTATGTTTCGGTTCTTTGTCATGTGGTACAAACCGAGTTGTGCCATCGTCTGGTTTGTCCTTAGGTTGGCTAGGTGCTCCTGCTGCCGGCCTCCCTGATGGATCCATTCTATGTTTCGGTTCCTTATCATGTGGTACAAACGGAGTTTTGCCATCGTCTGGTTTGTCCTTAGGTTGGCTAGGTGCTCCTGCTGCTGGCCTTCCTGATGGATCCATTCTATGTTTCGGTTCTTTGTCATGTGGTACAAACCGAGTTGTGCCATCGTCTGGTTTGTCCTTAGGTTGGCTAGGTGCTCCTGCTGCTGGCCTTCCTGATGGATCCATTCTATAGTTCGGTTCTTTGTCATGTGGCACAAACGGAGTTTTGCCATCGTCTGGTTTGTCCTTAGGTTGGCTAGGTGCTCCTGCTGCTGGTCTTCCTGATGGATCCATTCTGTGTCTCGGTTCCTTATCATGTGGTACAAACGGAGTTTTGCCATCGTCTGGTTTGTCCTTAGGTTGGCTAGGTGCTCCTGCTGCCGGCCTCCCTGATGGATCAATTCTGTGTTTAGGCTCCTTATCGTGTGGCACAAATGGAGTTCTGCCATCTTCTGGTTTTTCGGTAGGATGGCTAGGTGCTCCTGCTGCAGGTCTTCCAGATGGATCAATTCTGTGTTTAGGCTCCTTATCGTGTGGCACAAATGAAGTTCTTTCATCTTCTGGTTTATCCTTTGGTTGACTAGGAGCTCCTGCTGCTGGTCTTCCAGATGATTCATCTCTTTTTCTTTCATGTGTATCCTTCGTCTGTTCTTTCGGTTTGACATCCTTTTCAATGGGTTTGCCAAATCTATCAACTGGTTTCGATGGTTTTCCAGCTACTGGAAGTGGTTTTGTAACTGTCTTAGTTCTTTGAGTGTCAGAGAAGTCAGTACTTGTTGAATCATCCACCACAACAGTTGTTTTAACTAACTTTCCACCAATCATTTTTATAACCTCTGTAGTATGAGTTGATTCAGAAATGTATTGATCATGGTGAGAAGTTTTTTGTGGTTCTAAAAATAAATCGTCAGGTTTGTCTACCCTTTTGGTTGGAGACTTGTTCTTCAGTTTATCTTCTGGCTTATCCTTTGGTTGACTAGGTGCTCCTGCTGCAGGTCTTCCAGATGGATCAATTCTGTGTATAGGCTCCTTATCGTGTGGCACAAATGGAGTTCTGCCATCTTCTGGTTTATCCTTTGGTTGACTTGGAGCTCCTGCTGCTGGTCTTCCTGATGGATCGATTTTATTTTTGGGTTCCTTATCGTGTGGTACAAATTGAGTTTTTCCATCTTCTGGTTTTTCGGTAGGATGGCTAGGTGCTCCTGCTGCAGGTCTTCCAGATGGATCAATTCTGTGTTTAGGCTCCTTATCGTGTGGCACAAATGGAGTTCTGTCATCTTCTGGTTTATCCTTTGGTTGACTAGGAGCTCCTGCTGCTGGTCTTCCAGATGGTTCATCTCTTTTTCTGTCATGCGTATCCTTCGTTTGTTCTTTCGGTTTGACGTCCTTTTCAATCGGTTTGCCAAATCTGTCAACTGGCTTCGATGGTTTGCCTGCTACAGGGAGTGGTTTTGTAACTGTCTTAGTTCCGTGAGTGTCAGAGAAGTCCGTACTTGTTGAATCATCTACCACAACAGTTGTTTTAACTAACTTTCCACCAACCATTTTTATAACCTCTGTAGTATGAGTTGATTCAGAAATGTATTGATCATGGTGAGAAGTTTTTTGTGGTTCTAAAAATAAATCGTCAGGTTTGTCTACCCTTTTGGTTGGAGACTTGTCCTTCAGTTTATCTTCTGGCTTGTCCTTTGGTTGACTAGGTGCTCCTGCTGCAGGTCTTCCAGATGGATCAATTCTATGTTTAGGCTCCTTATCGTGTGGCACAAATGGAGTTCTGCCATCTTCTGGTTTATCCTTTGGTTGACTTGGAGCTCCTGCTGCTGGTCTTCCTGATGGATCGATTTTATTTTTAGGTTCTTTATCGTGTGGTACAAATGGAGTTTTTCCATCTTCTGGTTTTTCGGTAGGATGGCTAGGTGCTCCTGCTGCAGGTCTTCCAGAAGGATCAATTCTGTGTTTAGTCTCCTTATCGTGTGGCACAAATGGAGTTCTGTCATCTTCTGATTTATCCTTTGGTTGACTAGGAGCTCCTGCTGCTGGTCTTCCAGATGGTTCATCTCTTTTTCTTTCATGTGTATCCTTCGTCTGTTCTTTCGGTTTGACGTCCTTTTCAATGGGTTTACCAAATCTGTCAACTGGCTTCGATGGTTTGCCTGCTACTGGCAGTGGTTTTGTAACTGTCTTAGTTCCTTGAGTGTCAGAGAAGTCAGTAGTTGTTGAATCATCTACTACAACAGTTGTTTTAACTAACTTTCCACCAATCATTTTTATAACCTCTGTAGTATGAGTTGATTCAGAAATGTACTGATCATGGTGAGAAGTTTTTTGTGGTTCTAAAAATAAATCGTCAGGTTTGTCTACCCTTTTGGTTGGAGACTTGTCCTTCAGTTTATCTTCTGGCTTGTCCTTTGGTTGACTAGGAGCCCCTGCTGCTGGTCTTCCTGATGGATCAATTCTGTGTGTTTGTTCCTTATCGTGAGGTACAAATTGAGCTCTGCCATCTTCTGGTTTATCACTAGGATGACTGGATGCTCCTGCCGCTGGTCTTCCAGATGGATCAATTCTGTGTTTAGGCTCCTTATCGTGTGGCACAAATGGAGCTCTGCCATCTTCTGGTTTATCACTAGGATGACTGGATGCTCCTGCCGCTGGTCTTCCAGATGGATCAATTCTGTGTGTTGGTTCCTTATCGTGAGGTACAAATTGAGTTCTGCCATCATCTGGTTTTTCGATAGGATGACTGGATGCTCCTGCCGCTGGTCTTCCAGATGGATCAATTCTGTGTTTAGGCTCCTTATCGTGTGGCACAAATGGAGTTCTGCCATCTTCTGGTTTATCCTTTGGTTGACTAGGAGCTCCTGCTGCTGGTCTTCTAGATGGTTCATCTCTTTTTCTTTCATGTGTATCCTTCGTCTGTTCTTTCGGTTTGATATCCTTTTCAATGGGTTTGCCAAATCTATCAACTGGTTTCGATGGTTTGCCAGCTACTGGAAGTGGTTTTGTAACTGTCTTAGTTCCTTGAGTGTCAGAGAAATCAGTAGTTGTTGAATCATCTACAACAACAGTTGTTTTAACTAACTTTCCAGCAATCATTTTTATAACCTCTGTAGTATGAGTTGATTCAGAAATGTACTGATCATGGTGAGAAGTTTTTTGTGGTTCTAAAAATAAATCGTCAGGTTTGTCTACCCTTTTGGTTGGAGACTTGTCCTTCAGTTTATCTTCTGGCTTGTCCTTTGGTTGACTAGGAGCCCCTGCTGCTGGTCTTCCTGATGGATCAATTCTGTGTGTTTGTTCCTTATCGTGAGGTACAAATTGAGCTCTGCCATCTTCTGGTTTATCACTAGGATGACTGGATGCTCCTGCCGCTGGTCTTCCAGATGGATCAATTCTGTGTTTAGGCTCCTTATCGTGTGGCACAAATGGAGCTCTGCCATCTTCTGGTTTATCACTAGGATGACTGGATGCTCCTGCCGCTGGTCTTCCAGATGGATCAATTCTGTGTGTTGGTTCCTTATCGTGAGGTACAAATTGAGTTCTGCCATCATCTGGTTTTTCGATAGGATGACTGGATGCTCCTGCCGCTGGTCTTCCAGATGGATCAATTCTGTGTGTTTGTTCCTTATCGTGAGGTACAAATTGAGCTCTGCCATCTTCTGGTTTATCACTAGGATGACTTGATGCTCCTGCTGCTGGTCTTCCAGATGGATCAATTCGGTGTGTTGGTTCCTTATCGTGAGGTACAAATTGAGGTCTGCCATCTTCTGGTTTATCACTAGGATGACTAGGTGCTCCTGCTGCTGGCCTTCCAGACGGCTCTATTCTTGGCTTAGGTTCCCATTCTCGAGGTTCAAACGTCGTTATGTAATCTCCTTGTTGATCTTTAGGCTGACTAGGAGTGTAAGTGGTTGGATTAGGCTTGCCCCGCATACTTGTTAGGGACTCAGAGTAATCATCATACCTGTCATCAACAACAACTGTTGTTTTAACAAGTTTTCCGCCAACCATTTTGACAATCTCTGTTGTATGGGTCGAAGCCGAAATAAAATCGTCACTTTTAGATGGTTTGAAAGGCTTTAACAATAAATCATCATTTTCATCTACCCTTTTTGGTGATTTATCCTTAGATTTATTTTCTGTTTTATTGTTGGTCTGGCTAGGAGCTCCCGCCGCTGGTCTGCCAGAGGGGTCCATTCTCTCTTTCGGTTCTCTTTCATGAGGTACAAATTTTGATATATCATCTTCTCGTCTATCTTCAAGTGGGCTATATAAGCCAGCTGCTGGTTTTCTTGATGGGTCTTCTCTCGTTCTTTCAGACGTGTCTTTCGAATGTTCTTTCGGTTGCTGGTAGGTTTCAATATTTTTATCAAATCTGTCAACAGGTTTTGATGGTTTACCAGCCACTGGGAGAGTTTGTTTTTCTGATGTAACATTATAACATTGAGAGTAGTCTGTAGATTTCGTATTATCAACTATAACAGTTGTCTTTACCAATTTTCCTCCAACCATTTTGACTACCTCACTTGTATGAGTTGATTCAGAAGTGACGATATCTGGTTTTGTTGGTTTTCTAGATTCCACAAGTAACTCATCTGACTTATCGTTTTGCCTTGTAAGTATCTTATCTTTTGTTTTAGTTTTTCCAAACTCAAGATTCTCTGGTTCGTCATATATTACTCTGGTTGTTTTAACAAGTTTTCCACCGACCATTTTCGTTATTTCTTCAGTTCTATAGTTGGCCCCTTGAATACTAGAAGTTTCAAACTGTTCAGTAGTTGACTTGATATCGGTTCTATCTCTAGAAAATGTTTCCTTCAGTTGAGATTGGGTACTCTCTGACACATTCCCCTCTGTTACTGAAAATGATCCAGGAATTTCTTCTTCACTTGTAGTTGTCACTGGTTTTCCATCAACAATGACAGTCTTAGTTTTAATTATTTTTCCTCCGGTCTTATGTGAAGACATTGCTGTCGAACTTGTTTGAAGGGAAGAAGATATGTCACTTGACTCATTGATACTATCCCTTACAAAGTGTTCTGATGACGTCATAATATTTCTGTCGTCCACAGTATCCTTATTATTAATTATCTTCACGTTTTGAGTGTCGAAGGAACTTTGAGAATGTTCGTCAAAAGATACATTGTTTATAAATATCTTTTCTCCTTTTTTATTTACGTAATAGGTACTTCCCGAGCTTTTGATAATACTTGAAGAAGGCACATCTTCAACAACTCGCGTACTTCTTACTATCTTTCCTCCAACAATTTTCACAGTCTCTTCAACAATTTGCTGATTACGGCCATCAGATGATGGAATCGTTTTATAAGAAACCCCAGGTGAATCTTCCTTACTAGTCGTAATTTTTCCAGTTTTCGAACTAGATTTTTCACCGTCATTAGAAGAAACTCTTTCGACCGTTTCAGATTTTCGATTAATGTCTTGACTGTTTAGGATTATTTTTTCTCCTTTTTTATTGATATAATAAGTTTCACCAGATCGCTCAAAGATATCAGACGAAAGTACGCTCTCTATGACCCTCTTATTTCTGACAATCTTTCCACCAATTATTTTTACACTCTCCTCAATTATCTGCTGCCTACGTCCGTCAGAAGAAGGCATAGTCAAATACGTCACACCTGATGAGTCTGTTGACTTTTTTGTTTTTTCTTCATTTTTACTGTCAGGTGCAGTATTTTTTTCTTTCGATTTAACTGTCTCCGATTTCGAATCGTAGCTTTGTTTTTCTGTCATTTGAACATCAAGTATCACCTTATCTCCTTTTTTATTAATGTAATAAGTTTGACCAGAGCTTTTAACAATAGCTGACAATGGGACGTTTTCGATTACTTTCGTATTCTTTACAATTTTTCCACCAATAATCTTCACAGTCTCTTCTACTATCTGTTGTGTTCGGCCGTCATTAGTTGAATAGACCTTGTAAGTAATACCACTATTATCAGGACTAGATTTGCCAATTTTCTTCTGAGGCAGATTATCCTCAGCCCCACTGCTCGTTACATGTGACACTCCTTCTACCACCCTTGACTCTGATGTCTGTTCCTCTGTGCTTTTACTACTCAGTATAACCTTATCGCCTTTTTTATTTATATAGTACGATTGGCTGGAACCCTGAACTATGGACGACGATGGCACACTTTCAATTACCCTGTGGCTTCTTATAATTTTTCCTCCAATAATTTTTACAGATTCTTCAACGATCTCCTGCTTTTTACCATCTACACTAGGGATAGATTTGTAAGTAACACCTGGCATTTCTTCATAACTTGTATTACTTGCTGGGACATTGTGTAATGTAGAATCAGATATTTGCAACTCACTCCTTCTCAAATCATCTGTTCTGTTCAGTATGATTTTCTCGCCCTTTTTATTTATATAATAGCTTTCACCAGATGTTTTCACGACAGCTGATAGTGGTATTTTCTCAACAACCCTTTCACTCTTTACAACCTTACCCCCAATAATTTTTACAGTCTCCTCAATTATCTGTTGACCACGTCCATCAGATGTTGGTATGGTCTTGTACGAGACACCAGATATTTCTTTTAAACTACCTTTCCCTTGAATATGTTTAGTAGATGAAGAAGAACTGCTGCTTACCACCTCTTCACGTGATTCTTTGATGCTACTTGTACTGGATATTTTTTGGAGCTCCTTGTTTGCACTCCTATCCTGAATACGGGAGGATTGAACAATTTCCTTGTGACTATCTGAAACATCTGACCGCGCCATTACTGACGAAGAAACACTTTCCTCTACAGATATTTTCTGGTCAGATTTCACATTTGATGACTCGTCAACGAATGTCTCTACCTTGGAAGGCACTACATCGACATCTTGTGTTTGTGAAACTAATTTTTTGTTACCCTTGGAATCAATAACATATACTTGGGATGTTTTGATGACCTTACCTCCTGTTTTGACACTTGACACACTTGTTGATGATTGAGCGACAGTTGATGACATAGCAGATGTTTTCTTTGAAGCAGAAGTCTGAGACAATATACTTTGAGACGATTGAGATTTTTCAACTATTGCATTTTTATCAGCTGATTGCTTGATAACAGACACAGACCCACCCGTTTCCGTCTTAGATTTCGATGTTTCGCTGGAAGAAACTTCGTGAGATGAGCTTTCGGCTTGGTAAGATTCAGAAGTATTAGTCTTGTATACCGAAGAAGAAATATTATCTTTAAAATGACTAGTGGATAGTGATTCGGTTGAAATTGGCTGATGTTCACTAACATTCCTTTGGGAAACATTTTTTACTGTGTGTTTACCCGAATCATGGAAAGTCTCAGAGCTAGAAACTACGGAATCCATGGAAGACATTTTTGTGGTTGATGAACTTGACACGAAAGCTCTAGATTCTGATTTTTGTTTAACGCTAGATGAAGTTACTTCACCTACACTTTGATCAAACCCTGTTTGAATAACACCCTGCCCTCTCTCCATTGCAATAAAGCTAGCAGAGTCATCGTACTTAGGAGTTTTGACAATTTTCCCTCCAACCATTTTAACATCTACTGAAGGCTGGTTATGTTTTGACGTATAGTGTTTCACATCAGATACTTCACGGGGAGCAGTCCCAGAATACGTATTAGAAAACCCCTCAGCTTTGCCATTTTGTTCAAAAGCATCCCTAGAACTATCAATCTTCGAGGTTGAAACTTCAACACTCGTTACAGAAGGACCAATCACGATATTACCTTTGCTATCATAAGGCACAGAAACAGACCTGGACAATTGAGGTGTCTGAGCCCCCGAATCATCTACAATATACTCTGTGACATAACTACCCACATCGGGTGAAGGGTAGTCAGAAGGCAACTCGACTATATCTACCGAATCATCTTCAACAATAGTTTTTATAATTTTACCTCCTACAATTTTTACGTCCTTATTCTGCTTCTTCTTTGACTTACCAGAGGGTTTCGACTTATCCAATGGAGGGGGTGAGGTCGTAGTCACTTTATCACTTTTCACACTCGACACTTTTGTCTCTCGCACTGACGACGACGTTTCGGCCGTCGTACTCCGCGCGTCTTCAGGCGCACTCATAGCTTCGCCGTCTCGCTGCGTACTGGTGGTCGTGCTCGCCGGGTCCTCCGGTTCTGGGTTGAGGCCCCTCCACTCCCACTCTCCGCCGACCCACACTGCAACAAAACCCACTCTTAGTGACAACCCACTCGTATCATCGCAAACAAGTATTGATGACGTTTGATTTAGCTAATACTGTACAATGATTGTTTGGCACACTTCATATGCTCGTACACATTGCTGTGTTCGGTTATCTCATTGGTACATTATCAGTGAATTTGCAAACATAAAAATTTGTTGAAATCATTGTCAAAATTATAATGTATATCAAATTTCACAATTGTAAAGAATACAGCCCGTATATTTTAGCAAAATTACTTAATATTAACTTTGAATATGATTCCTATATTTCTCAATCATAGAATTACTTGTTATAATTCTAAAAACTAAATAGAGTTAACAACTGAAAACACAAGATTCATTGCAAGTATATCGTAAATTAAATGGATATAGAAAACTGTTAGTCCTATAAACTTCTCCCCAAACAAACTAGTATTTGGGACAAATAAGCCGTGATTAAAAACTCAGTTTACCGACCAGGTAGTATCGACGATTCATTATCACGTACGTGGATCATGGGTCATTTGACTGGTTATTAAAAGCCTCAATGTTAAATTGTTGGGATAACGCAGTGTCCATGAACTTTAAGTATCAACAGCGTGCATTATTTTTGTCAAGTTGTTGAAATAACCAAATAAAGTACCAGTTGGAAAACATAAATGTTAAAGTGAAATGCCATATTTGCAATTTTCATTCATATCGTGACGGTAAGTAAGCAATTGGTCACTAATGTTTCAATTGATAGAATACTATATTTTCGTACTCTTTGAGTAGGTACAGGATATAAAGTCGAATAAACTAGAGTAAGCTTAGCACTCTAAATACTATTCTAAACGCTTTTACCTCTTTTTATAGTTTATGAAAACTCGCTTATTTTAAAAGCATCTAGGTATGATAAATTAATAATATCCTTATAGAATATAAGATCTCCTCATTTGAGGCTGAGAGAAAACTTTGCCTTGTGTAATAATTTCAGTGGACTTACATACAGTTTAGATTGCCACTTAGTATTTCCACCAAAATTAAGGTTCCATGTCTTCGTAGAAGAAAGTTAGTAACAGTACCGTCACTGCTGATATTAACCAATTTGTTACAGTATTTAATCGTGTCACGACTACAGATCATCCGACAATCAAAAGGTTATCATGTTTGATTTTTGAAAGAAAAATCTAGATTTAATATGACCTTTAAATTAATAACGATGAGGTGACATTATAAGTATATATACGTATAAAGGCCCACTAGAAGCTTTCCTTGAGCGGTGAGAGCGCTAAAACATAGTCTTAGCTATTTAAAGCCATGTTGGAAAAAGTCATAGTACTTGGAACACTATTGCTTTTCATAAAAACTTTACTACTACAGTACTAGAACAAGTTGCTATACCCTGGCTTCGCAACGGGAAGAAAACGTGGAAAATAATAAAGTTGTTCTTTAGATCTGCTGTATAATAATTACACATCTATTATTCGTTTTGGAATATAATCTCAATTTTACCACCCAGTGAAGTAAAATTCTTTTCAGTAGTAAAATTCAATCCATCTGTAAGTAAAATTCAAACCTCATATTAGTTTGAATCTAAGGCTATATTTAGATAAGGAGTTTAAATTTCCTAGGCAGCCTGAGTGTATAAGATGTTCTGACGTGTGTTTTAAAAATACAGCAACTCTGTGATTTAATTTGAAAAGATAAACTAATTGAAAAGTGGAAATCTACTCACTTTCAATGCCCTACTTTTGATGTCAACAGATCCTAAACAATATGGCTACATACCTTAGTGTAGCAATAACTTCAATTACTTGATATTGATGCTTCATGAATGATACATTTTTCCATAATTCTTCAATTTTAGTCAAGCCTCTTTACATGTAGCTTACTACAATATACAAATTACAAATAAAACTGTGAGCAATACTCTAAAACTTGTAATACCTTTCTTTAACCAAACATAACCCTCTTACTAAATAACTCACAATATTTTCTCAATGTAAATAAATTATCAGAAACATATTCTTCGAGTAAATAAACAAACAGCAGTTAATCGCATTGACCAGCTGTTTCATTAAAAAATTAAATAATTTAAACTTTGAAAGCATGTCATGCATAGTCTTTTGGAAATCGGCCTGTAGGGCAGAGCCCTTAAGAAATTCATTCATACCAATAATTTTCGGCAAATCTATATTTTACAAGCTTCATTTGGACCAGATCACAAATTAGGTTGCTAACTGTTATCAACCCCATACGAAAATTCAATTTCAATTTGGTACCACATAACTTAGTTTAATAATTGCTCTTTATGGTATTAAAAACATGTTACTATTCTTGGTACATCTATCTTTTCTCCATGGGGTAACTCTTTAAGTATATTTTTAATTTGAATTAAAGATATTCATTTTTAAACGATCAAGCGAGTTTTCCATTAAAAATTATATGTGGAACAAAATGATTTCTTGGCTTTTGAATGGCATAATGCGCAATGACTCAGACAATATGAAAGTATAATGAGATATTTAAGTAAGTGGAAAATGCTATTGTATTCTGTTTAAGTGGGTTTTTATTACTTAACGCTAAACGTTATCTAATTCTTTAAAAACCTTTTGTTACTTTGAAAAGCTGATTCAGCATTTGAACCGATACATGTATTTACTAACGTCGAACGTCATGCATACTAAACTAACAGATGACTCAGCAAAAATATCATTTAGGATATTATAATACTGAAGATAAATTTCTTAATTTTTTAAGATACTTTTTACCTGTTTCTATTCTATTTTGTGGACTTCTAAACGCTTGATGCCTAGACCACTTTCTATGTCTGGTGTTTCTAATAGTATACAGTATTAAAACAATTTTCTTCTCCCATATGACCTGGGGCCCATTTCATAATAAAGTACAAACTAATATTATTAGTAAATCAGCTGATCGCCCAATGCAAATCTAATGGAATTTCAAGTTTCAAGTTGTAACTTGTAACTTTTAGTTTATTATGAAATGGGCCCCTGAACATGACATTTCCATTATTTATACTAGGTAATCAGGGGTTTAAAGATAGTATGTTTTAATGGCCTGTAAAGTGTATGTCACTTAGTAGATTAACTTTGATATATTGTTTTCTTAACCATCTGACACAATATGACAACACTGTCAAAATATGAATTATTAAAATTGTGTATATTTGACTTGGGGATATTGTATTTATATTAGAGAACTCTGGTGCGCACACTTGTAATTCTAAAGCATTGTGCAATAATTACAGCCATACAGTTTTGTTGTAGGCCTAATATTGTAGCCTTATTTAATCACCTTATATTACTCTCGTGAACGAGCTAAGTTCGTCATGACCAATGAGAATTTAAAGTCGGAAAAGAAATGAGAAGACAGTTTTGGCCCATAGTGTGATGAACAAGACTTTCCCTATATTGCACTATTGTCCTAAATAATTCAAAACGATGAAAATTCTATGGTTTACCTTGATAATTGTCTACTTAGTCTCATAAGATCGATTCATCATGTTTCGTCCACGAATATTCAACATATTGCTCAGTCAACTAAAAGCTACTAGTCTGTTATGATTTTAGTGAACGCAGATGTCTTATAGCCTATATTTCATTTTTATAGCTTATATTCTAAACATTTTAGCTTATCGTTTTTAACAGTGAATTACATAGTAAAAGCAATCAATAGCTACTAACACATTCGATTAAGGTAACAAGTGGAAAAGATCATCATATCGCGTCCTCAAACCCCAACTGATTCTAAACGGCTAAAAAGAACTACTTTTCCCCCTCAGTGCATGAAAAGGGAGTTTCGTGCAGAACGCACAAGAATAGGGTCACCGTTCTTAGCGATCAGAAGAAACAAGATATTCACTAGATTAAAACCATATTCATTGTCAAAACCGTCCAATGTTGACTGTGGCGACTTGCGCCACATCTCTGGAAGTCCCTGCTCGCTGGGAGCATATACTTCTGGGATGCTGTGGTCCAAGCCCTGGTAGCTCAGAGTTTCTCAACTATCATAAGTGCCTGAGAATAACGAAGAATCAGTTTTCTGCTAATATTACGTCATGCGGAAGTCCGTAACGGGAGACCTCAAGACAGATTCCGCGACAAACAAAAACCTCCACACGACGCCGCAAAACCACAATGCATTTCTGCAGTCTTGGCATGAACTGCAAACCGGTTGGCCCGTTTTGGCGATCGAGGACCGACAAAACCTCGTCCTTATTGAGGACAGCTCGCCGTAGTGTCCCAGATCAAGTCTTCTCTGAAACTGTTGGTTAATTTATCAAGTTAACTCCATCTTGTGCGGCTTTGTAATCGTTAATTACATTTCTGTTTTAAGTCCTCTTTGCGTCTACGTTTTGTTTCTATAAATTTATAATGTTTTGAAAAAAGTAATCAGTTTTTATATTGTTTAATCCTTTCACGTATCGGTATATTTTGATCTACAACATGTTTAGAATGTTTAATTTCTAACATTTAATAGTTTTTTTCATGAAAAGCAGTAAATATTAATTACAAATAATACACAGTTTCTCACCGAAATCTTATTGAAGTGAAGAATTTCTTGTTAAATACACTGCATTTAACATTAAACTGGTTAGAAAATAGCATTATTAGAATACTTCATCAGAAAATTGCTTTTAACATGTTTCTCATAGACCATTCCTCGTTCCGCATAGATGTGAAGCAATAGTAGCATAAAATAACAATATTGGTATAAATTATTGTGTTCTTAAAAACCAGTAACTAAAAACTACTGTACTAGGCCTACTAGTTTTTACAATTAGGCCTAATATTTCGGAAGAAGAAATTTCGATAAATATTCAAGGTATTTGAAACGATTAAGATGAACATATTTGCTTTGAATAGAAACCCTTCTACATTAACAAATAATTTTTGTAATCCCAATGTTCTATTTTTCGTTACTTTTCACCTAGAATATGGTGTTCTGAAAGTCTTGACATAATAAATTAAAGGATTTGTATAAAATGTAA